TTATCAAAATGGTAGAATTAATGTGCATGGCGATCGAAAACAATGAAATTCTAAAGGTTTTCAAATTTCAGGGAAATTTTGTATTAGTAGGAATTAGAGGAGTTATTGATTTCAAAACAAGTTTCAAAGAAACATTATTCATAATATTTAAAAAGAGCATAATGGACCATCGCGCGCGTAGCGCGCGCAAGGAATGTGCTAGTATTATAAAATTTTATATAAAACAACTTTGTACAGCTTTTGCTAAAAATGACTTACATGACTCGTGTATATGAACAATTTATCGATATATATTTATTCTTTACGAGTAATTTGCATAGATTTATAATCAATGTACTGCAGTTTTTCTAGCAGGTAAAATTATTGTATTTTAGTGTTCAATGTTATTACACATTTCCATTTTCAGTTTTTAAGTATAACTAATTTGCACAGATTCCAAAATTACCTCAAATTTGTCCCGAATTTAATTTCAGAGTAAATATTAAAAATTTGCAAATTTTTAGAAGAATATTACATTGAAAATTAATGTTACAAATAAAAGAAGGAATATAATAAATATTTATTTATAAATATAACAAAACTATAATGGATAAATAAATTTCTTTATAAAAATAAAAACTATTATTTTTAAATATCACATATCGAGGATAAATAAGAGAGTAAATTTAGAGGAAAAAGATGAGGGTGCGACTAGCCTGTTTGAAAGAAATAAGCAGAGAAGAAAGAGTGCACACATGAGAGAGTTATTTTCGCGTTTGATCCGACGATGTGCTACCTCTTTTCTCTGACACCTGAAATTCTCCACCAGATCGAGCCACATTCTCAAGAAAAGTGGTGGCAAAGGGTGAAGAAGGAGATGAACATGCAGAGAAGGGGCCAATCTCAAATTACTGGTGAGCTTCGTGCTAGGCCGACCCAGCATCTCTGCCGGTTGCCCACCATCGCCCGGCAACCTTTTATAGACACTCATTGATAGTGGGGCAAAGTGGAAGGGAAATTGTGTGAAAACTGGCAATCCGACGGAAAAAGAAGCACCCGGAACGATTGCGATTTTGCTTTGACCGATATTGGAAAATAGGAATTTTATTGAAGCGTAAACATTAAAGTAGTATACACTAGTTTTCACTCCTTTCGCCAATCAAATTAATTACATTTTTTGCAATAAAAACTGTAAAACAGAAAAAATTGTTTCTATATTGGCAAAGATAATACTGCATTATAATAAAAGAAAATTTCAGAAATATCAGAACTGGATATGCCTGCGAAAATAGTTAATAATCTTGTCAGGAGTAAATAAAAATATAGAAATTAGGTATTTTTGTCTCTTTTTTTTCTAGTACATATATATGTTTGCTTTTATGATTTTACTTATTAATTTACTAAATAAAAACAGTAATTCGGTAAAAGATTAAAATGATGTACACTTCTTTCACTACATATATATTTGTTTTCTTTTTGAATTACCAATTTAATATGGCGCTGAGCAAAGTTTTTCTTTCTTAGTAAATCTTCTATAATATTGTAAGATATTATAAAAGTATATATTTATAGCGATATATATGGTATATATATCATATATATATTATAATCTTTAATTATAATTTTATTATGAGAAGTTAGTTTATATAATAAGATACAATACTAAGGTAGAGAAAGAGATGAAATTGTTTGTAATTTTAATCGTCATTTTAAAAAAGAATTAAAATATTTCAATCATTTTATTTAATTTGTTGTGTTATAACTGCCTGTTCGCGCATTCGCGTTTCTCATTTTGTCACATTGTCAACAACATCGTCTGTAAATACCAAAATGTCTGGCGCGATTTTAGGTTAGCAAAAAGACTGGAAGAAATTTCACAGCCTCATGAAAACTAATTAATTAAATGCAGAATTGAAATAATAAAATATAACCATTTTATATAACACTTATGTTATACTATTATAATTTAATAAAATGCATTTAGTGTAACATTAATTTATTTAATATAATATAAAAATTTATTAATAATATGAAAAATAAGAATAAATTTATTTAAAACAAGTTTTTTTTACTAAAACGAAAAAATAATTTATTTCGTGTTATTAATAGTTATACTAATATTTTATAACAATACAAATATTTATTATTATTTACATTCTAAAATATGTTGTTTGCAAGAATACTTTTATTTGACCATTTGCAACATTTACAAATATTAAATGTTATTAACAATTAATATTGATAATTATATTTTTTTTGCCATAGGATTATTTTAAATTGAACTTATATATATATATATATATATATATATATGTATATAATATATACTACTCCGAAGATTTCATTGCCAACTTTCGCCCTCTTTCGACAAGTGCATCAAAATATCCATATCAGTCATAATACGCACCACGATAGAACTACTCACGAATGAATCTCTGATCTAAAAATAACAAATATATTGTGACAAGTGCCGGTGACTAAATGTTAAATAATTTGTCATTTTATTCTTTTATTGTATGACTTCTCTACTACACTTATGAGTATATAGATCGTTGAATGAATCGGCAGCTCGTTTTATCATTGACCGTACTAAAAATATTCTATTCGATATACTTTTCTTTTCAGGTGTACAATATTAAGTTAATTTGAATAATTTTATGCGTAAGAATTCGTAAAATCATCTTTGGCAAATATTATAGATAGTGAACGTAACACGTATAGGAATGAAAATCGATCTTATTATTATTATAACTGTAATCGATTAAAGTATTTTTAGAAATAAAAAATAATTATTCCTATCACATGCACATGGGCGTCGACTATGTGATTGATGTAGAGTACTCCACACTCGAAATTTTTCCGTGTGTGGAATTCCACATTTGGAAATCCGAAGAATATAAAAATTATTTTTTGATGAAATAATTTATTATTTAATATAGGTATTTAATATGGCTTATTAAGTTGATTAAACTAAATATGAAAAGTCGTGTGTTTACACGATGGTTGCTGCTTTCACGACCCTCGATCGATATTTTACTAGTGCCCAATGTCTTTACACGCCTAAATAGAGGATAACTTTTTAAAAGAAGATGTAGCTGTGAGAGAAATTATGTCAAAATACACAAAAATGCTAGAACTCCTGCTTACAATTTCGGAATTTTTCACAAACATCCTGTATTGTGAAAAGATCTTTTTCAGTTCTTAGGAGATTAAAAACATATGTACGTTCGACAATGCTTCCTATTTCGTTAAATAGTACAGTTGTTTCGAATATTCATTCGGATGCGGATGTTGTAAAAAATCTGGATTTAGAAACTGTAATAGACGAATTTATAAGCAAATACAAACTTCGAAGTTCTATTGTCTATTTATTGAAAATACATTTTTGTGTTGAACGCAGAAAAAGAAAGTATTGCAATTGTACAAGTAATAAAAACAAACATGACAGAATTGCAAGGTGTATATATATATATATATA